CTTAATATTTCTGTCCAGTAACAATGTAGAAACTAAGAACATGACCTATGATATTTGTTTGTTGATCAAATATTGATGATCTACAAAGCAATATTCATTTCAATAAATATTTCTTGATATTTCTGTTTAGGATCATATCATCATCAAAATATTAGAACATATTCTGAGGGATCGTCAGAATATTTAGCATCATAGAAATTAGTCCTTACACGGCGAAAACAGATTGCACAAAAAGTGCACGCTAAACGGGTACAAAACAAGGATAGTTTTTATGCTTATTTTCGCCTTAATTAAACACAAAACTATAAAAATTATGTTATAATGCTTTAAAAATAATGAAAAGAAATTAAACAAAAGTTAGTTTTCTAAATTTAAATATTACTTAATTACTGTAATATCTACATTATCATCATCTGACTCAGTTGAAAATGAATTGATTCGTTTTCTACAGCTTATAAACTCTTGGCAAGTTGTTTAAAGCCAGAAAATATTTTTAAATTTTAAGAATTCTTTTTTTTTTGAGATAATAATGGTCTAGTGATACAAGTCTTACTAATTAACTCATAGCTTTGAAGAGGTAGACTCATACATTTCGCAAGGGTATTTGCGTGTAAGTGAATATGACGAACTCAACGGGAATTGGAACTCGGCTCTCTGATTAACAATTCCAAACCATTATCCATTACACTACCCGCACTCCCAAGCTTACAGATATTCCCATCTAGGTACTGACCAGGCTCGACGTTGCTTAATTTTGGAGATCGTACGCGAACCGGTGTTTCAACGTGATTCTAATCGGAAATCATCTTCCATTAGCAAGTTTATATATTCCATTGTTAAAGGTGGCTTACGTTTTGAAGAATTTAACGAATATTGAATTTGACAAATTTGAAACTGAAGCGTACATGAGTGCCAGTGTAAGGACAAAGAGTAACCACATAAATTGTAGAGTTGCCAATTAGTCATTTAGACATGAAAGAATGATGTCACTATCGGAAAAAAGTTTCAATCATCAGTTGGTGATATCAACTGATCTCCAATGAAACATCAACTGATGATACTCGTCTTTTAAGGGTTACGAAAATTACTCATGATTCTTGTCTGCTGATCAAATATTGATCATTTACAATCGTATTTTTTAAAATTATCTCATTTTATGTATTGTGAATGGAGAGATTTCAGAAAAAGGCATGTTTCAATTATTTTTCAATATTTCCGTTTGAATATATCAACATGTTCTAATTCTATACTTTCAGTACATATTTTAATTCCCGACGAACTTTTTTCTTCCTGATTTTAATGCATTTCTGTAGTAAAAATAATGCTGATCTTATTTCAGGACCAAGAAAATCCATTTCTTCCTGATTTTTAATGCATTTCTGTTGTAAAACCATAATGCTGATCCTACATCAGGAACAAGAAAATACTTCTCTTACTGATTTTAATGCACTTCCGTAGCAAAACAATAATGCTGAGCTTACTTCCGGACCAAGAAAAATCCTTTTCTTTTTTCTTTTTAATGCACTTCTGTTGTAAAACAATAATGCCGATCTTACTTCCGAACAAAAAAAAAATACTTTTCTTTCAGATTTTCAATATTTTCTATAGTAAAATCACTTACAATTCGTCCTATAATACAGTCATTTAAAATGCATTAAAACATTTATAATACATTTTATAGTAAAAATCATTTACAATGAATTTTACAATAAAATGCTTCTACGAAATAATAATTATATAGTCAATATCACTATTCATTCAGTATGACTTGCATTAATCCCTAATAATTGACGATTCCTTTCTTTCTAATTTTAAATGAATTTATATTGCAAAATCATTAGCAATGCTTTTACATTATACATATAATTCTATATATACATTCCTATTTTATCAGTAATGCTTCATTAATTCCTGACAACTACTTACTTTCTCATTTTCAATGCATTCCCGTAGTAATATCATAATCTATTTTTACATTATACATATAATCGCTCTATTCTATCCTTAGATTTATTCCTGATCCCTAACAATTTATTTTTCCTGCTTTTCAAAGCATGTTTGCAGTAAAATGTCTTAGCAATGCATGTACACTATACATCTAATAGCCTTTCTCTATCAATAATGCTTGCATTAATTCTTGACCAATGAAAATCTGACTTTCAATGCATTTCGATAGTAAAATATTTCAAAATTAATCCCTTAGTAAAATTATTTAATTACATAACCAAAATTAAATCATTATTAATGAGTATTATGCCGCTACTTTTTCAATAATCTTTATATATATTAATGCCTGACCCCGAACAATCCTTTTCTTTCTAACTGGCAATGCATGTAATTTTTAGGCAAATGATATTAACGGCCTTTTGTGTTGAATTCATACCATATTTAATATTTTAACTTTTGCACTTTTAAAAAAAATGTTAATCATATTTGTTTGTGATTATCAAGAAAATAATCTCGTGTTAGCCTACAAAATGATTTAAATAATTGTCTAATTCAGTTATTTATAAATTAAAAATATTTTGTAATTACACTGGTTAATTTTATCTTCAGCGTGTGTTTTACGTATGAAATTCTGGAAATAGCAACTGTCATCGTCGATTATACTTCGAGAGGCAAGAGGGTTGTTATGATCTCCCCAGATTTTTGTCTGCTCTCTTGGTTGGTCCTACCACTTTCATATGCTCTTTAAAATACCCACAAAATAACCAAACCATAGTTAATTCCCGTAAATTTTATGTTTCTTGTTCGATAGTTGATATTACCTATAATAATATAATTACCTAAACTATATGTACTGCTGCCACAGCAGCAGTAGTGTATCTAAGTCTCGCCGATTTCCCTTTCTGAGCCGCTAACTCTTACACTACTCACACACCTTGCGCGCAGTGAAATGGCATTAAATCTGTGGAGATTATTCGTGAACTATCTTGTCACTACCATTACTAAAACAACTATTTAGCAAAACTGTTTAATTTGGAAGAATCTTATTTAATAAAGTATTATATTACTTTTAAATCCCATTTTTTGTATGAATTCGCACGAAAATAAAAACAAATTCTCCTCACAATCACCGCGTGTTTGACCTCTCCTTTCCCAAACAGATTAATTTTACACCACTCACCCAATAAGTGCACCCAACTTTCAGATTGTGTGGCACCTCATTGTTTGTCACTATTCTAGGAGTTATAAGTTTTCCCATCCTTGTCTTTTTAGTGACTATTCGACCTTTTTCGGTTATACAAGAAGTAATCAACCCACAAATAAGTTAGTGGCATGTTAAAAAAAGAATTCATTCGCAGTGTCAAGTAGAAGAAAAAGGTCCAAAATATTGCCGAAGCCTAATACAATGATTTTTTGGATCCTTGTTTCAGATACAAGGTATTTGCTGCTATTATATGTTGATTTCATCATAACATTTCGGCCGCTGAACTCTGCGATCTTCTCATAATATGAATGTCTGAGACAATATACTCTTACTATTATTCAATGACTATTTCAGTCCAGTTTTCTCACTTTAGTCATGGCGTTTTTGCCGTTCAGTGGATGAGCAAAACCCTAACAGAAATAAAATATAAGTCATGAGTTTCGAAATTCGCTTGGTAAGGACCCAATAAGACAGTAAAGAAATGAGAACAAGGTACCTCGGCGGAAATTATTTTTTGACTACACAAACGTTTACTGGATGAGACAAAATTTAAATGATATGTTGAAGGTTAAATCTGAAGATTACGATAAAAACAACTAAGAGAATGGTAACGACATTACAGAATCAATGTACAATAGTGACATAGAAAGAAGACCAGAGTTTTTTTTTAAATGCCATAGTTCTTCAGGACGCGTGCGATCATGACGTTCAAGAGATTCCTTTTCTTTATTATCTGTGAGTGCCATGAATTTTTGGAAAAATGGTGGTGTGATTTACCATTACCTTTTCCATGCAGCTGAAATGTGAATAACAAAAAAGAAAAAAAAAAACAGCGCAAAAGAATGAATGTATAATTTCAACTCTCTTCAGACATTGAGGTAAAGAGAAATTTGGAGAGTTCAGTGACTGGAACGTTGTGTAAAAAGCGACAAAGGCAAGAAAATTATTTTGAAATAGTAATTAACAAATAATTTTCTGAAATATTGACTATTTTATTAAAGTTGGTCTTGTGATCAACATCAATAGACGAAGAAATGAAACACTGCAATAAAAGCAGGAATGAGAATACTAATTATGAACAAATGAGATGCGGATTTGCAGAAAATGCTGAGATGAAACATGTGAGCAAAATATTATGGATGAAACGTATGAACAATGCGGAAATTTTAGGAAAATGGAAATTTAAAATACATTTATTCTTAAAATCAGAAAGATACAGTTGAAGTTTCTGGAACACATAATGTGGAGAGAAAGTCTGGAAAATCTGACACTCACAAAACACACTCAAAGCAAGCGAGGCAGAAGGAAACAGCGAGTAACCGACCTAACGATTTTGTGTAAAAGGATTGCAGAACAGAGAACGGAAGGTATAGTAAGAACATAAACATTGTTAGAGCTACAATGTCTAGGAAGTTGTGGAGAGCCATGACCACCTGCGTCTTGATGAGTTAAAATACATAAAAGAACTAACGAATATCAAAATGAAATTAAATTGGGGAAAATGGGTAAATAAAAAGCAACGGAAAAGACAACATAAACCAAAATTTATTATTCTTTACAATTGATAACAATCTGATTTTCACACATCTCTTCGAATTACGAAAAATTTAAAAGACAATAAATCTTTTTCATATCTCCGCTTGAATTACAAGCGGAGTCAAGTTAACTGACGTGGCCGAAAAAACAGTAATCATGTGCTATCAAGAGGCTCGAGTTTCGTTGTCACTGATACGTGGATAGCAATCGGGCTGATTTGATTGGTTTGAGGGGTATTTAAAAACTGCTCACTAAGCTCTGTGCATCACAAAGGTCGAAAGCAGACCTTAGGGAAGGACACACCCAAGTCACCATGGGAGGCTTCCTCAGAATTTGCCCGCTCTACAGAGCAGTCATCCTCATCGTGAGTTGCTTATTTGTATTTTGTATTTTCTCTCAGTTTGATTTTTATTTAAGAATTAATGTAATCTGTAACCATTTTATTCGTTTTCATAGTGTAATGGTCTTATTCTGTTAATAAGGCTTGCATGAATTTTATTATATAAACATCCTTAAATATAATTCTTCTTCTCTCTCTCTCTCTCTATATATATATATATATATATAAACTATGAAATCTTCACAAATATTCTTAAATGTCTATAATTGATAACAGAAGCCATTGATTTATACCAACGGTTCCCCAACTTAATATTTCTCGTTTTTACTCTCGTGTGGTCATGTGTGACGTCACGAGCTGCGATGCAATTTTCGCTTCCGCGTCTCGTATACATGAGTTTGTTGTTGCTTTGAAATTTTTCATGCAACAAAAACATACTATCATTATTGTTTCGTCCGTGCATTGTTTGATATATTGAAAAGTAATTGTCATCTTTGATAATGGCTTATGTAAGCCGAAACCTTAGATAGGATTAAAACATGTATCAATATGGTGATTTCCTTAATCTTTCAATGACAATGTTAAGCTTATCAGACAATATGAAAGGAATTACTTAAAATAAATAGACAAAACTTGTCTATATTATTTAATGAAACATGCATCAATGAAAAATTGCTACCTAATTACACAATATATATATATATATATATATATATATATATATATATATATATATATATATATCAGTTTTTTGTGTGTAACAATTTAGGAGGTAGTGCAAAATGTTAACATGAGACGAACAAAAGTCAAAAGTCTACCGCGCTGACAAACTGCAAAGTACCTTCTTTCTCTCTCTCTGCGATGTACGAGCTGTTTTCGCACAAGTTGGCAAGTGAGGAGGCAGTGAACTACAAAGAGAATCGCTCCTTACGGCGACACAGTTCATAGTAAATCGTATCGAGTCACGACACTCCGAATTTTGGTATTTAACAAAAACCCGTGTAGAAGGATGGAGCGCTTTACGTTGCTCTTAGTAGTGCGAAAAATACGCATACTTTGAAATTACAGATTGAATCTACGGGCTGTCAAGGATTACTAAAACATTCCAAAGTTTACACAAAAATATTGTGCTTTGGAAACTTTTGCAGTAAAAAAAAATGTAAATATGTAACATTTATGTGGATAAAATACAGATATCTTTCCTGAGATGTTTATAAAGTGTGCACAGTGCAATTATTAACGTTAACAACGAACTATTTTAAATTACAAAATTATACATGGATTAAACGAAAATTACAATACAATACATATTACTTATAATACATTCCATCTTGCCGTCAATTTTGATGACACACAAATACTAGTACACACACATTCACAGACACAGACACACAAACACAAACAGACATATATATATATATATATATATATATATATATATATATATATATATATATATATATATCATTCAAAAGTGTATATGTATTGGTTACATACCCACTATATTATTATGGTGATTGGCATAAAGTAAATCGTATATTAGCAACCAAAACAAAAACGCACAAAAAATCTAATACATCCTTACCAATAACATATACATATTATATCGCATAAACTGTAGAAAAACGACTACAAATACTAGAAGCATTAAGATAAAAACAAACAACCCAACTTCAAAAATATTATATCAAATTTAGTAATAAACATACTTAATATGTTTTTGTAGATAAAAAAGAAAAAGACAATACCAAGACGCAATGTTTAAAAATGATGAAACCGACATAGCAAAGAAGCTTTGATAACGACTTATAAAAGCTGAAGTTTGTCAGGCATTGGATGTTCTATATTTAAGAATGAACTAGAAATCAGGAAAATGGTACAAAATATAAAAAAGAAATAAAAAAAATATTAAAAAAGAACTTTCGTTGATATTTAACCATTTTCGACGTATGAGGATCTGACACCTTATTGATTCAGTTATGAAAGTTTGCGCGATAATCTTAAGTGGCATTTAAGACCCGCTAGTGATTTACAAAGGAGGCCACATATAAAGCAAATGTGAGGATTGTGAGATGAGATCACTGTTAGATTGGCTGGCCTTTTAGATCTTGCTCTCGCTTCTTGAAGATGAAGATATATATATCGAAATAAATAAACGCTAAAATAGTGGTTTTAAGATCGTATGCATTAAAAAGTGATCAATTTCAAGTAAGAAGGATGAAACCTGAGAGTGATTTATTATCTTAAAAAGATTAAAACTTAGTGTTAACCTCCTGATGAGACCTTGGCTTTCGAAACCGCATTAGTGTTCCATTCAGCATTTTAATATATATATATATATATATATATATATATATATATATATATATATATATATATATATATATATAGTGTTTCTAGGTAATAACAGTAATAATTTTAGGCCACTATTGTCCCAGTTATTATTGTGGCGTTGGGGCTTATGCCACCGAACGTCGTAAAGCCCTACATTGAATCTGAATAAAACTTAGTATCCCATTGCTTCAGAAATCTTCATTTCCTGGAACTGCAAATATTATGTGAAATGTGCTCTCTCTCCAAGATCGTACATCTTGATGGAGAGCAGCTATAATGCAAGATCTTTATTTAAAAACGAAAACTGTGGAACTAATGGTATAAATGAGTAAATTCATGTGTTATGGAGTCAGCGAAGGTGGAACTGAACGTTTGTGGTGGTAAAATCATAGTGGATGGTAGTGAGCGCTGGAATCAAAATTAGCCAACAGCAAAAGAAAAGTGAAGATTTGCATATAACAAAAGCTATTTAATAATCCAACCGATTCCAGGGAAGCAGAATATGTGTGAGATGAAACAGCAACGATAGGAGAAAACACTAGATTAACCCAATATTGAAAAATATTCTCAGCTGATTCGCATCTGCAAACAGAAAATCATAATATTTATAAAAACATGTCAGCGAGGTGAAAAAAAGATACTACACAGTGATCCCGACTCGAAGGCCAGGGAGCATTTATTTACTTGACCTCCTCACTAAGCCACTAAATATATGGATTTTATTTCATTAAAAGAATGGTGAAACTTCAAAGTATTTTAATTTTAAGTGGAATTTTAAAATTCTGATTGATTTAATTGTACATACAACTTATATTTAATATATTTTATCATTTATTTGTTGCAGGTATGGATGACAATTGTAAGCAGAGCAGATGGTACGTATGTTAAAAAATAAATTTATCGATATTTTATGATATGAGAAATTTTATTACAGTTGATTTTTCTTTCTTTCTAGGCAATTTAATCCGTAAAAACGTCGACACATTGACCCCTGATGAAATTCTCAATCTGCAAATTGCCCTGCGTAATATGCAGGATGATGATGGAGCCACAGGCTATCAGGCCATCTCAGCCTACCACGGGGAACCAGCTGACTGTAAAGCTGCCGATGGTTCGGAAATTGTGTGCTGTCTTCACGGTATGCCTACATTCCCGATGTGGCATAGGCTCTATATGGTACAGTTTGAGCAAGCAATTACTGCACATGGTGCCACTCTTGGTATTCCCTACTGATTGGACAAAACCTATGTCTCACCTTCCTGAGTTAGTGCAGCATCCATTGTTTATCGACCCCAGTGGCCAGAAAGCCAAGAAGAATGTCTTCTACTCCGGCGAGATCAAATTTGAAAACAGAGTCACAGCTAGAGCAGTCGATGCCAGACTTTATGAAGCTTCCAAAGAAGGCCAAAAGAACTTTCTTCTGAGGGTGTCCTAAATGCTCTGGAACACGAGGATTACTGTCATTTTGAAGTGCAGCTGGAAGTAGCCCACAATCCTATCCACTATTTAGTTGGAGGCAGATTCACTCATTCCATGTCCAGTCTTGAGTATACATCTTATGATCCACTTTTCTTTTGCATCATTCCAATGTTGAACGACAGTTTGCTTTGTAAGGCAAGCCTTGCAAAAAACACCGTGGACTATCGACAAGACCAAACTGCGGCTTGAATTTGTTCCATAGTCCGATGGAACCTTTTGGACGTGACAGCAATCCATTCGCCCTCACGAAGGACAATGCCAAACCCAGCAGCTTATTTGAATACGATCATTTGGGATATGAATATGACGATCTTACCTTGAATGGAATGTCGATAGAGGAACTTGAAACTTTATTGAAAGAGCGCAAGTCCAAAGCAAGAGCATACGCCAATTTTAGATTGGGTGGAATCAAGACGTCTGCAAATGTCAGAATCAAATTGTGTATTCCTACGAAAGACAAAAGACAAAGCGATAACTGTGATAATGATGCAGGACAAAGTTCTTTATTCTTGGTGGAGTTCACGAGATGCCTTAGGATTTTGCTTATCCTTACCTTCATGGAAATCACTGACACAGTCAACTCATTGGGACTAAAGTTCGATAGTTAACTACTATGTAACTGCTGAAGTAACTGCTATCAATGGTACTCTGATGCCCAGCGAAGTGATTCCATATCCGACTGTTACTTACGTCCCACCACGTGGATTCGAAGACAGTGAGTAAACTTAACATCTTTCATCAGCTTCATATATATATATATATATATATATATATATATACATATATATATATATATATGTGTGTGTGTGTGTATATATGTGTCTGTGTATACGTGTGTGTGCATACGTGTGTGTGCGCTCACGCGCGCGTGTCTTTGTGTGTGCATAAACACGTTTTCTTAGATCCAACCTAAAAGATTACTTTGTTTAAATTTTATTGTATTTACTCAATTTTCGAGTGAATCCTTGCAATGCAGAACACAATTCTGGATTAAAAATTCAAAGTTTATGCTGTCTGTTCTATTTTTGACTCGAGTACTGACGGCTATTTAACTCTTGATAACGACCAAGACGATCATTATAGAGAGATATTTTTTTAATTATACATTTCAAACTGAAATGTATGTTACGTATAAGTGTCGCAATCTATAGAACTGCTCAAATATTGATATATATATATATATATATATATATATATATATATATATATATATATATATATATATATATATATATCCAACAGTTTGGATTAATCATTTTGTTTTATATATGTTTGCCGATATAATAAAGCCTCATTACTTTTTCATTAATATTTCGTCTTATTTTTGTTGATTTTTTTGCTTTAAGATGGAGGAATCACATTCTATATATTTCGGATTTTTCTAAAAAATAGTTAATAATTATTAATAATGATAATATATGTATTTTAGCGTTTGTTGTAATTGAAAAGGAAGCATGTCATAGCGGGATATAAGAAAATGTGACAGACTACACTTTCTCGGCACCTAACTGAATATTAAAGTTTAGAAACACAATTCTATTTTCAAAATTCAACTGTCGTCCTTTGAATTCCAGAGATAAAATGAGTTAACTAACTGCTCTCGCCCATGAACAGATATTAACGTCATCTGTATCCATGATCATCGACTATGAGTATGCGACCATCAAATATCATGATAGGAAAAAAAGGATTATAATATTTGTTCGAATTCACTCGAAATTTAAAAAAATAGCTGAGCAATGTTTCAGTTTATTTATTTCATGTCTTCCAAATTTTCGTAGATTATGAGCAAATTTCATTCATATGTTCTACATTGAAAGTCAGAAACAATCTGCTTAATGGTCAGAAAGTAAGTCAACCATAATTGCTAATTATATTTCAGTGAATAAGCGTTGAAAATTAGTAATAAGGTAATCACTACTGCTAGGAAAATATTATGCGTGTAATGTGACTGCAATGATAATTTTATTATAATGGAAATGTATTGTAACTCAGAAAGAAGAGGTTTTTTAGTGTACAGGAATTAAAAGAATAGGGATCATATATTAAATAATATACACACTTCCCTAACTGAATTACAAAGATATACATTTTATTTTGTAGTCGATATGGTAAATATGGACACAAGTCACCTGCAATTCCGTAAAGACGTCAACACCCTGACAACAGAAGAGGAATATGAATTAAGAGTTGCAATGGAACGTTTCATGTCTGATAAATCAATCAATGGCTATCAAGCGTTGGCTGAATTTCACGGACTCCCGGCAAAGTGTCCTCGCCCCGACGCCCTGAATAGAGTAGCCTGTTGCATTCATGGTATGGCCACCTTCCCTCATTGGCATCGACTTGTAGTCATGCAGTTCGAAGATGCCCTCGTTGCCCGTGGATCTCCTATTGGTGTTCCGTACTGGGACTGGACCAAGCCTTTCACTGCACTGCCGAAACTTTTGGCTGAAGAAACTTACATCAATCCGTACACAAAGGAGTCAAAACCAAATCCTTTCTACCAGGCTACCATTGAATTCCTGAAAGCTGGTGTTCACACCTCACGTCAAATTGACGACAGGTACGTAAACAAAAACAGAAAGACGAAGAGATTCTTAAAACCAATTAAATAAGGCAAGAAATTAGAAACATAATGTTAGGCACACGGACACAAATGTAAGGCTTCCACTGAGGATTGAACTGTAGACCCTGTAGTTGTGGTTAACTAGAATAGCTCTTAAAGCATTACTCAACACCGAAATGTATTGCTGTTTACTAAGCTAAGACAGCCGGATATTTATTACGCTCAGCTACGTCTGACACAAGACCACATCTATGAGCATACTTGTTGCTGCTTATAATTACTTAAAAAGCATTACTCCACAGCGAAACATCTTGGTGTTAGTTAATCTTTCTATCTAGCATAAGTTCATATGTGTGGATATGTTCAATTATAAAATAAATCACTACACAAAATAAAAACGGAACTAGCTTTAAAATTTATTAAACTTAACAGAGATGGGCACAAGACCACACGTGTAGAAGTTACTCAAAGAGGTGGTCGAATTATTGTCGACACCCTGGAGAGTAGACGTAACATATAAACACAAAAATTTAACATGGCCAATGGTTTATATATATATATATATATATATATATATATATATATATATATATATATATATATATATATATATATATATATATATATATATATATATATATAAAACATTTATTCAACATAATTAACAAACGTAAAAAATTGTGTAAAAATGATCGAAAGTTAAATATACTTACAGACGTCGTGTATTTGTAGTAATTTCTCCCTAACTAACCTATTGCGATTTCATAGTCTGACAGATTACAATTAACTAAGTACTAAAGCCGAGAGCAAGAAATGTCTTCTTAAATTATGCATACGTATTATTTTGTAGCCGTTGTGTTGGATTGAACTCAGTGACCACTTTTCGGAGCAAAGCACGAGCTGCTGCTGATGTTTCGTATCACTAGCAAATCACGACGCATTACTTTCGAAGCATTACTCTGTGGCAATATGCCTGCGAATTCATCTTTTAGTTCTTACTGTTATCTTTTATGAAAATATATTTTAATATCAATTAATAATATTAATTTAATAACTATGATTAATATTAATTAATAACAATATTTCGAAGAGATAACCGAATTGACAAAATAAATTCAATATTCATTGAAATATTTTCTTAAATACTTGAGTAAATTGACATGTATAAGAATTGTTGTAATGCATTTTTCAATATGTTTTGTTTTTAATAAATCAAAATCTTTTTTTAATGATCGCAATTTGTTGTTGATATAATTTCGTCTAGCTGAAAGTCATTTTTTTTTTCAAATTAAAACAGATTATTCAAACAACCAAGCAAAGGCGACCATGGTTTCCTCTTCGATGGACTTTTATTGGCATTCGAACAAGATGATTTCTGTGATTTTGAAGTGCAGTTTGAAGTAACTCACAACGCGATCCATGCATGGACAGGCGGCAGTGAACCGTAACAGATGTCCTCTTTGCATTACACGTCATTTGACCCAATGTTCTGGTTGCACCATTCGCAAGTAGACAGACTCTGGGCTATTTGGCAAGCTCTTCAAATCCAAAGAGAAAGCCTTACAAAACTTATTGTGCTAATTCTGAAGTTTATCGTCCCATGAAACCATTTGCTTTCGAGGCACCCTTAAATAACAACGAACACACCAGAGAACACTCTGTACCCACTGATGTCTACGATTACCAAGCCGATCTGCATTATACTTACGACACCTTGTTTTTCGGTGGTATGTCTATTCGAGAACTGCAACGACACGTCGAAGAAGCCAAATCAAAAGATCGTGTGTTTGCCGGTTTCCTTCTTATGGGAATCCATACTTCTGCTAATGTGGATCTCTATGTCGTGGCTGGAGGAAATGAATTCTCAGTCGGTTCCATTGCAATTCTTGGAGGCAGCAAGGAGATGAGCTGGAGATTCGATAGGGTTTATAAACATGAAATCACACATGCTTTAGAATCTCTTGGCGTGGATAAGTTTGCTGAATATACTCTACGCGTAGATATCAAGGACGTCAACGGTACAGCTTTGCCACCGACCACAATCCCAGCACCGATCGTAATTTTTGTACCCGGACACGGTAAAGAATGAATTTACTTTTATTTTCAATAGAGTTTTCTAGTAAATTAAGAATAATTTCCATTAGAGAATAACTCATATTTGTAACATATTTGAATAGTAACGAACTCCGATTCCCATTAATATCTTTAATTGCCTAACTGATCTTTACTCTAATGATAATATAAATTGTCTGGTATAAAGTGAAGTACAAAATACTTGATTTTTCTATATAACAAGATACATAAAAATAAAATTATACCACATAAAATATACATAAATAAAATTATATACATAAATAAAATATACCGCTTTATAATTCATGGAGTGGGGTCACATATTGTATAGCTTGATAAAGATTAATGGACAACTGTAATATCATACTGGAGAGCATCGTACAATCAAGTCTGTAAGACGTATGTCTTATAGGTTTGTTTGGAGAGAAATGTATTAAATCCTTCTGATACAGACTTCTTCAACTCAGTATCCAATCCACAATTCCACGATACTGAGCGGTGTCATATTTAGCTGCATTCGTCTGGGTAAACAAATATGTTGTTTAGGATTCATTTTACTGAAGTTCATGCTATTAGTAAAGGCAGAAAATAATTTTGCGATTGAACAAATAAAAGATTCCATAAATTAGAAATTGTTTAAACTTAATAAAATGAGAAACATTGTCGGAAACTCAGAAATAAGAGAATGTCATTATTTCTTGATTAGTTGAATAGTTTACTCACTTCGTTTTGAGCATTGTATGCGGAGGATGAAGACTGAGTATTTCAGCCAAAAACTAGGACAAAAGCAAGAAGTATTATTATAATCGTTCAAAAAGTTATTGTCAAATTTAAGAATATCAGGTAACGAGAAATACAAGGTATTTCATATATGTTAATGTACTTTGTAATCTCTATCTATAAAAGGCAGGATGTGTGTGTGTGTGTGTGTGTGTGTGTGTGTAACGAATGCACGGCCGCAATTTTCGACGGATTTGAACGAAAATTTACATGCATATGCTTCAAGTTAGCGAAAAGGCCAAGACCGACTTTGCATTTCCCAACTCCCATCGATGGTGGAAATAATCGATTTTTTCATGCTTCTACGGCAGTTTTTATTTAGTTTGCGGCCATTTTCTACCGGCCAGAGTGAGAGCCTATAGTTGGCTGCCACGAATAGGCAGGAAGATTCTGTTGCCCAGCGTAAGAGCCAACAGCTGACTGACACGAATGTTAACTAGCATGCAAAAAAATCGATAGCTGCATTCGTCACAAGTGGGAAATCATGGCATTTTACTCCAATTGGCTCATTCGCTTGATTAAACTCAACGTTGATTCAGATTCCGCAGAACTGGGTAGGATGTGAAAAAGTGTTTGTTGTTAACATTCTTTTTTCATTCGGTTTTTCCAGTTATGAGTCCTTTTTTAAAGCTGATCGTTTTGTGTTCATGATTCTTTTTTCGTAACAGATTTAACGTTTAGTATAGAGCTTAGAAAAAAATCGCAGTGTGAGATAGGCAAGAAGTAAGGCATGTAACAATATCAGCACGGCAAAGGGCACTCCTTTAAAGGCAAGGAAGGGCAAAAATATTTTAAGTCAAGAGATAGCGATTGCTGTATGAGTCGTACGATTTTGAATCAAGCACGGGCAACGCCGGACCATGATGCTAGTTGATTTATAAAATTTTGTCTACATTTATCAACTTTCTTATTGTTTATTCTCAATTAAATCAATTTTAAATGCAACTAATCACCGCCACCTTTGATTTTGTAAACATACCCACACAAATGACTATTGTCTGATGATATACTCTCATTAAACTCTTATTTTGTCTAATTTATAAAGGCTTTTATAAGAATATATATAGAGAAAGTGTTTATATGTTTCGGTATTATCTATGGTTTAATGTATCCGCTAAGGAACTGCTTTGTAGCATATCCCAAGCAAATTTATTATATAAACAACCGAACATCAAGCATACAGAAATTATTTGTCATTTCTTCCCATGTATTTTTGAAATTTTTAATATAAAACACTATCATGACAGAAAAATCAAGATACCATCGATGAGATAGATCGTTGTCAGATAATAATTTTATAATTATTGTTTTCGTTCACAGCTGATGCTGATGTCAAATTCGATGAACAACATCGTTCCCGAAAAAATGCGGATAGTATGACCAAGTCTGAAATGGACGATCTTCGAAAGGCCATGACTGCCTTCGCTGCAGATAAAACAGTTACCGGTCACCAACAAGTCGCCGCTTTCCATGGATCAACTAAATGGTGCCCTAGTCCAGATGCTGCCCAAAAGTATGCTTGTTGTCATCACGGCATGGCAACTTTCCCACACTGGCATAGATTGATCACTTTGAACTTCGAAAACGGTTTGAGACGAAACGGTTACACTGGTGGTATTCCTTACTGGGATTGGACCCGCCCCATTGAAGCCCTTCCCGCCCTTGTATTGGAAGAACAATACACAGATAGCCATGGAGAGAGTCATCCCAATCCGTTCTATAGCGGCGCTATTGATGAAGCTGGTGCTGCTACAAGTCGGGCACCGTCTGAAAATCTTTATGAAAAACCTGAATTTGGAAAGTATACCCAACTGGCTAATGAGATCATTTATGCTCTTGAAAAGGAAGACTTCTGTGACTTTGAAGTTCAATTTGAGGTAGCCCACAACCACATCCATGCTTTGGTCGGCGGTACAGAAGCTTTCTCTATGTCTTCATTAGAGTACAGTGCATTTGATCCAATCTTCATGCTCCATCACAGTAATGTGGACAGAATCTGGGCTACTTGGCAGGCGTTGCAGAAATTCCGAGGAAAACCCTACAATTCGGCCAATTGTGCCATCGAATTGCTTCGTAAACCAATGTCTCCGTTTAGTCTCGCAAGTGATATCAACCCAGATGCAATGACACGAGAACATTCTGTTCCTTTTGATGTTTTTGATTACAAGAAAAATTTCCATTATGAATACGACACTTTAGAACTGAACGGTTTGTCCATTCCACAATTATCACGAGAAATCAATCGACGAAAGTCCAAGAATCGTGTGTTTGTCACTTTCATGTTGGAAGGTCTGAAGAAGTCTTTGCTTGTCGAGTATTACATTAAAGATGATGGATCTGACAATCAAATGAAGGCCGGAGAGTTCTATGTTTTGGGCAGCGAAAATGAAATGCCCTGGGAATTTGACCGCGCTTATAAATCTGACATCACACATGTTATGGACGAAATGAAACTTCATTATACTGACAAATATCACGTTGAATACAAAATCACCGACATGACTGGCGCTGAGGTAACTGACATCAAACTAGAATCGTCAGTGGTCTTCGAACCAGGCCTTGGTGAGTAGTCATATTATTAAGTATATTAATCAATCTAAAGTACAAATACACGCACGCACACATACGCACACGCACATATATATATATATATTTGAATTTTGTGGAAATATTATTCATAGAAAGTGACATGATATTATGAAGCATTAATATACTCAGATTAATTTTCTACCTTAAAGAATAACGCTTTTAATTTACATATATTTATTTTTAGATATAATCTCATTCCTTGTCAACGCACTTAATACAAAGCTACATTAACCATATGTATCGAATAGTATACAGTAAAAACTTCATATCAATATAAAACTAATAACTGAACTACGGAACTGCTGATCAAACGTACTTACATATACAGTAAATTTGAAGAATATTAAATCGCGTGAGAAGAATTTGCAAAATTTTATATAATTCACAAATCTTCCTCATATAAGGAAACACAAGAAATTTTGTCTCTTAATAATTCCTCCCAAAGATAAAAAGTATTGGATTGGATTTATTCCTTAGAAAGAATTTTTACTTCAAATTCGTATAATGATCCACTCATAAATATATTAATCTCTAAAATACTTGAATATTGAATATTTTGGGCCTCCATGACTGCTTTCAGCCTCTTAAATTAGCCAGATACAAATTATCGCATCGACCAAAAATCATATTATGTCCTTCAAAACTCTTCCACTTCGGCCAGATTTAACAGACAGATTTCGATATTCAAATGTGATATTTAACTTTATTTTTCTCAGACAAAATAATTATTATTATCTTTTTTCGAGGGTTGCTGAAATGCTTTTGTTCCTAAAATTATTGTTTGGTCAGATTTATCGAAGCTGGCCTGATTGATGAGTTTTCAGCATCTCTTCGAATATATATAACTCCATATATATATATATATATATATATATATATATATATATATATATATATATATATATATAACTTTTTGTTTAACAAACTATTTAATATGCATTTTTTCTACTTCAGGTCATTTTGGAGAGGGCAGGCGTTGGATCAGCCCTGTTACAAGCGCAAGTCACATCAGAAAGAATTTGGAAGAATTAAGTGATGGTGAAATGGAATCATTAAGAAATGCTTTTAAACAAATGGCAAAGGAAGGAAGATATGAAGAAATCGCTGCCTTCCACGGTGTCCCTGCTCAGTGTCCAAATGAAGATGGCACAATGGTGCATACATGCTGCCTTCATGGAATGCCAATATTCCCCCACTGGCATCGTCTCTATGTTGCTCTTGTAGAAGATGAGTTATTGGCTCGAGGATCAGGAGTGGCCGTGCCATATTGGGATTGGGTCGAGCCGTTCGATGAACTTCCACGTTTAATCAATGAAGCAACCTTCTATAATTCCCGTACCCTTAAGATTGAGCCGAATCCTTTCTTTAATGGCAAGATTAGCTTTGAGAATATGGAAACAGATCGAGATCCCCAACCAGATTTATTTGGCAATTCATATTTATACGATCACACTTTGTTCGTTTTCGAACAGACAGATTTCTGCGAGTTTGAAGTTCATTTCGAGGTTCTTCATAACACCATTCATTCTTGGCTAGGAGGAAGAGATGCTCATTCAATGTCGTCTCTTGATTATGCCGCCTATGATCCCGTGTTCTTCCTTCATCATAGCAACGTTGATCGTTTGTGGGCCATTTGGCAAGAGCTTCAGCGTTATCGTAAGTTATCATACAACGAGGCCAATTGTGCATTGCCACTTCTCAACGAACCGATGCGTCCTTTTAGTAACAAAACTGCCAACAACGATTGGTTAACATTCACCAACAGTAGACCCAATGATGTCTTTGACTATCAGAACGTCTTGCACTACAAGTATGATACCCTTTCTTTTGCCGGTCTCAGCATTCCACAACTGGAAAGAATCTTAGAAAAGAACAAAGGACATGACCGAATTTTTGCAGGATTTTTGCTACATGGTATCAAAGCTTCTGCTGACGTCCGCATCTACATCTGTGTACCGACTGGTGTAGGGGAAGAGAATTGTGCCAATTACGCTGGTATCTTCTCCGTTCTGGGAGGAGAAACTGAAATGCCGTGGAGGTTCGATCGTCTCTTCCGATACGAAATCACAAGTGAATTAAAGAAATTGGGTCTTAATCACAACAGTCACTTCCGGGTCGCAATGGAAGTAACCGCTGTCAATGGATCTAGGATCACGCAAAAGGTTTTCCCTAATCCGACAATTGTCTTTGTCCCCAGCCAGGGTAAGAATACTTTTGCGAAATATATAATAATCTATCTTGTCGCTTTCTCTTTCATTTCTTCCTGGATACTTAATACTTTGTGAACGTGTACTCATAGAAGGTATGAAAGCAAAATCTTTGCAGTCATTAATCTGCATGAAGAAATCTCCAAATCTTGGATATTTGAGTTGTAGAGTTGCAACACTTTATAACCCCTAAAATCTGAATAGCTCTGTTACTAGATTTTGAATATTCAAAATCTAATAACAGAGCTATTCAGATTTTAGGGGTTATAAAGTGTTGCAACTTTACAACTCAAATATCCAAGATTTGGAGATTTACTTTAATCAGGGAGTTTTGTGTCTTACCATTCATTGCTTTGTTGTCACTTTTCCATTACGTGGCACCAGCTTACTTATGTCAGGAGGTATCCAAAATTTTCCGAGCCACACTAGATTCAGTCTCTGGTTTATTTAGACACTATATGGATATATATATATATGAACTGGGACTAAATATAGATCAAAATGGATTCCGACAGAATGATATGATTTGTTCCTTATTTTCATATATATATATATATATATATATATATATATATATATATATATATATATATATATATATATATGTAAAAAAAAACACTGAAGATTTTCGACTTGAGCCACATCTACAGTTGTATTCTGATGTTTGGTCATTGAAATACTGACTGCGAAAGTGGATCAATAATGGTTCAATAACCTTTCAGAACATCCTCGTTTTTATCTTTTCCTCTCCCCCTCTCTCTACCTCTCTCTCTCTCTCTCTCTCTCTATATATATATATATATATATATATATATATATATAAATAAATTTCTATCCACATATAATACCCAACATATATATATATATATATATATATATATATATATATATATATACCGAAATAAATAAACGATTTAATATTTTAAAAGATTAAAACTCAGCGTTAACCACCTGATGAGACCTTGGCTTTTTTATAAACCGAGGTAGAGTTCCATTCAACGTTTAAATTTTTTTAATATATATATATATATATATATATATATATATATATATATATATATATATATATATAGTTTATGAAAAATTAGGTAATCCGTATGGGTAGACCCAAGGAGGATAAAATCCAGAGAGCTCAATGTAAATCCAGAGCAAATAATCTAAATAAAAAATAGACCACTTTAAGGTTCCATGTAATAAATTATTTCACCACAGTTTTTTAAAGGACTGCGGTTCATCAGACTTTACTTCCAATTTTTTTGTTTTTGTTTCAACCTTTGGAAGTAAAGTCTGATGATCCGCAGTCCTTTAAAAGGGCTGTGGTGAAATAATTTATTACATGGAACCTTAAAGTAGTCTGTTTTATTTAATATATATATATATATATATATATATATATATATATATATATATATATAAAAATTAGCTATAGCTATATTCAAAAGGAAACTATCAATATAAGAGTTAGAGTTCTTATAGATATAGTGTGGACATAGGGATTAACACTGTATGCAGACTGTCAATTTCAGGCCCCAATGTGATCTTTAGACCACGTGCCTACACCACCTACAACCACTTCATGACCAAAATGACTAAACATAACTTTGTTAACTAAATGTAATAAACTATAATTCAAAAAACAAATATTACAACAAAAAATGCACGAAAAGTATACAAAAAATGTCACAAAATATCTAAAAGATTGTATATATATATATAAAAATATATATTTATTTCCTCCTTCCCAATTTCCATTAATTCCTCGTTGACTTTATATATATATATATATATATATATATGTAGCCCGCTAAAAAGTAGTGGCAATTAGCCTGAAGATATTACTGAAGCGTAAAACTTAGAATCACCATGCAATGTTGATACTAATATCCATATCTATCTATCTATCTATCTATCTATCTATCTATCTAGGTGAGTGTATATGTGCGTGAAGAGAGATAAATTTAACTTCTATAACCAGATGGTGTTTTCATAAGCATATATTCTCCTTTTTTCAGTTGAATTTGAAGAAGATTCTTGGAGAGATGTAGTTACTAGCGCTAACCGTATCAGAAGGAATTTGAAAGATTTCTCCGAGGAAGACATGTTATCTATAAGAACCGCCTTCAAACGCATGACAGATGATGGAAGATACGAAGAGATTGCCGCTTTCCATGGTCTACCAGCTCAGTGCCCTAACGCTGATGGTACGATGGTGCACACGTGTTGTCTGCACGGCATGCCGACCTTCCCGCATTGGCATCGTCTCTATCTATCTTTGGTCGAAAATGAGTTGTTAGCCAGAGGTTCAGACGTGGCCGTGCCCTACTGGGACTGGATTGAACCTTTCGACCATCTTCCAAGTCTGATCAGTGAGAAAATGTTCAGACATCCTAAAACCAATGAAGAAATTACAAACCCGTTCCATCACGGTACAATTTCCTTCGATAACACCGTAACTGTACGGAAAATTGATGACCAACTTTTCAACAACAGATATCTGTACGAACATGCTTTATATGCATTTGAACACACCGATTTCTGTGACTTCGAAGTTCATTTTGAGGTTCTCCATAACACAATCCATTCGTGGATCGGAGGACCAAATCCACATTCTATGTCGTCTTTGGATTATGCTGCTTACGATCCAGTGTTTTTCCTCCATCATAGTAATGTTGATCGTTTGTGGGCCATCTGGCAGGAACTACAACGCTACCGAAAGATGGACTACAATGTAGCGAATTGCGCTCTTCATCTTCTCAGTGATCCAATGCGACCATTTAACAACAAATCCGCCAATCACGATCATCTAACATTCACACACAGCCGACCAAATGATGTCTTTGATTATCAGAACAGCTTAAACTATAAGTTTGACACCCTTTCCTTTTCTGGTCTCAGTATTCCTCAGTTGGACGATCTCTTGGAAAGCAGGAAATCACATGATCGTGTTTTCGCCGGTTTTTGGCTTCATGGCATAAAGGCATCTGCTGACATCAATATTTATATCTGCGTTCCTATTGGCGTAGAACATGACGATTGTGACCATAAGGCTGGAACCTTTTCTGTTCTTGGTGGAGAAACAGAAATGCCCTGGAAGTTTGACCGTTTGTTCCATTACGAAATTACCGAACATATGAAAGAATTACATCTGACACAAGAAAGTAAATTCCACCTTACAACAAAGATCATTGCTGCCAATGGAACGAAATTGTCGAATGATATCTTCCCATCGCCAAGTGTTGTTTGGGTTCACGGAAAAGGTAAGAGTATTATTTCATTTTCAAATGTTTCAGGTTCAACGCTCGGATTCCAGGAACAATGCTGCAAATTATAGAAAAACAGTCAGGAATATGTCAGGACATTCTAGTTATATATTTCCTCTCGAGGGTTGATACAACACAATACTGTCTCAGTGTGTGGCCACAGACGCGGGGAGAAAGGTAATAATTGAATAGTGTTTGCCGTTTCTTGGTTCCAAGTTCTTTGCTCACTGGTCTATATTCTTGACCATCTACACTATCTTCATTCGGGTTTCTTTGTAAATTTCATCATCATTTCAAGTAATGAAAGAATGCCAGAAATCAATGACAAAAGTTATCCTATTTGTAGGAAAAATCGTTCCTGTTTTGAACAAAATATTAGCCTTTTAGCGGATGAACAGAAAAGTGAAAAATTCAGGTGGCTAAAGAATTTTGAACGCTCATTCATGGGGTGCACCACGCGTCTTCTCGGCATTCAAAACCCTTGCTAAAACATGATAATTAGGTATACAAATGACTTAAATAGGTACAACATTTAATCTGTAGACAGTACAATAAAATATTCCTTTATAAGATGATATTTTTCAGAAATTTTGCAATACTTTAAAATAGCCTCATATATTTGCACGATACTGAATATATATATATATATATATATATATATATATATATATATATATATATATATATATATATATATATAGGGCAGAAACCTTACAAACGTATTTCGTTAAACATAACAGGCAAGAAAAAAATTTATTTAGTTTTTCTAATATTTTTATGATTTTCCAAGCGTTTTTGGCCACTTATTGAACCATTTCTAAGGAGGTTTTGTCGTTAAATGTTGTTAATCTCTTTTCATGTTTGTCTGTTTAAGATGTAGCTTTATGTGGTGTTTAATTAGTAGTAGTGTTATTTCGAGCCTCACGACTGGAATCCGAGCTCAATATTGATTGTTAGTTTCGGTTTTCATAAAGAGAAATTTGATAAAATATTTTTTTTTTACAGAACGCACCATGAGAGCTTCGAAATCAAAATCCGTCCGAGGTAATTTGGTGCGAAAGAATGCTGATCGTTTATCTCTGCAAGAAATCAACTCTTTGGTGCACGCCTTCAAACGTATGCAAAAAGATAGATCTTCTGATGGCTTTGAATCGATTGCTTCCTTCCACGCTCTTCCTCCACTCTGCCCGAACCCGACCGCTAAACATCGTTACGCTTGCTGTCTTCACGGTATGGCTACTTTCCCACAATGGCACAGGTTGTATGTTGTCCAATTTGAACAATCACTGAACAGGCACGGTGCCATTGTCGGTGTGCCATATTGGGATTGGACATATCCTATGAAGGAGATTCCTCACTTACTGACGTCTGAGAAGTACACTGATCCCTTTACCGGTGTGGAAACGTTTAACCCATTCAACCACGGTCACCTTTCCTTTATCAGCCCCGAGACAATGACAGCACGTGATGTCAGTTCGCATCTATTTGAACAGCCTGCACTTGGAAAACAGACCTGGCTCTTTAACAATATCCTTCTAGCACTGGAACAAACCGATTATTGTGACTTCGAAGTTCAATTTGAAATTGTTCATAATGCCATCCATTCTTGGTTGGGTGGAAAAGAACTTTACTCATTAAACCATTTGCACTACGCTTCCTATGACCCAGCTTTCTACCTCCATCATTCCAATGTTGATCGTCTTTGGGTAATCTGGCAGGAATTACAGAAATTCCGTGGTCTTCCAGCTTATGAGTCGAATTGCGCTATTGAATTGATGTCTCAACCTTTGAAGCCTTTTCTCTTCGGACCTCCTTATAATTTGAATCCAGTGACAACCAAATATTCCAAGCCGTCCGATGTGTTCAATTACAAAGAGCACTATCATTATGAATACGACATGTTAGAAATGAATGGAATGTCTATTGCACAACTGAGTCTTACATTCGACAAGAGAAACAAAAAGATCGCGTTTTTTGCTGGATTTTTTACTTGAAGGATTTGGCAGTTCTGCCTACGCTACATTCGAAGTATGTATCAGCTTTTGAAAATTTCTTTTTATGCACTGATATCTTAAAACGAAAAGTTACCCTAAATAATATATGATTTAAAGAAGTATCTTTATTTTTTATCTTTATCAGCGTTAATGTTTGCTTCGCCATAATGTTGTTTTCCTTCTTTCTTATAAAAGTCACAGACCTTAATGCTAAAAGTTTGTACTCGTTAAAAAATTTCAAAGAAAACTAGCAGATATTTTTCTTCTTTACATCAGTGAATTAATTTAACGATGACCCCCACTTGTTAGAGAACATTTTAACGGCCAAATGTTCTCCTCTTGATTCGATCAGATTTTGAAAATTCGTTTCATGATATATCTTAAAAAAGAAACCAAATTTCACACATGTTTTGAGCTAGTATCTTCATTTTGTTTGTCTTTATCACTGTTACCATCACTGTTTGCATCGGATTCTTTCCTCGGTCTGTAGAAATTGCCAATATTTGATTTTTTATTCAGATTTGCCCAGACACAGGTGATTGTCATGAAGGAAGTCATTTCTCTGTGTTGGGTGGAAGCGCTGAAATGCCTTGGGCTTTTGATCGTCTCTACAAAATGGAAATAACGAACATTCTACGAGATATGAAGTTGAATTTTGATTCTCACTTCACCATCAAAACAAAGGTCGTCGCTCAGAATGGAACCGAATTGTCTGAAACTCTATTACCAGAAGCAACCATCATCCGGATCCCACCATCGGGTAAATAGTCCCTTTCTTCAAAATATATTTTATTCTCTTCTCAGTGACTGCGATATTGTATACTTCATATCGATGTTAATCTTACGATGATAGATCATAGCTGATTTTCCTGGGCAGTTCAAATTCCCTTTCTGAGCCCGTATAGCGACTGAGTCAGTGTTCGAGATCTGTAGTTTTAAGGCTGAGTTCCTGATCAAACAGGGCTTATTTTTTTACGTGTATGATAAGCCTGTTTGAGCGTCGGATTTCGAGAGCCCAATTTCAAAGCAAGTAGGTTTTTCCACTTTTAGTGTTTGACACTGTATATATAAAATTCTCTCTTCTTCTAAGTACACACACACACACACACATGCATACATATATGTGTGTGTGTGTGTACTTTTTCATCATTTTCTGCATTTTACAGATTTATGAAAAATACGGAATACATTTTTTTTGTATATAAATTTATAAATTTATCTGTCTGTCAAAACTTGTGCACCCCAAACAAAACATATAGTCTCTGGGGTTTAACGCGTTTAGCATTGAGCAGATTTTTGTGAACAAAATGTTCTCAATATTAAAATTAGAGCAACAATAGTCTGTGACCATAGCCTACCGTTAGATTTGCAAAACAAGAAATCGACCCCACGTTGAATTTCGTTGTTTTTGAGTTTTTTTTAAGATGTAGTGTCGGTGTTAGCCGAAGCTGCCAAGGTTGGGGTATGCATCCAAGCGGATGAATTCGGGGAATGATTCACTTGGACACACCAAAGATAACAACAACCAATGTTTGCGTGGAGAATCCATTAATAATTTTTTTTTTTTGGTGGGTGACGATGCATATAACACTGTGGCTCGGCGTGGTAACCGGCGGGCACTGTGTACCAGCATGACAACACTTTCTGTACAGACGAAGATCACTGCCTTCTTCACACAAGTCTTCTCTTATATAACTATAGTCGCACAGCATAAACAATCGTTGTATTATCCGCATACGTGCAGATTAAAATAGACTCAACTCTACTTCAATTAATTTGGGGACATAATGACAATGTCTCATCCTAGCCAGCCATACAGTGTTCATGTCAACTGATAAAGAAAAATGACAAATTTTTAAAACGTATCTTTACACACACACACACACACACACACACACACACACACACACACACATATATATATATATCTTTGTGTGTGTTTGTGAGTATACATCTTACGATCTTTATCTTTATATTTTTTCTTTTCTTTTCGCACAGCGCATGAACTTGAAGTGGCGATCCCATTAAATCGAATTAGACGAGATATCAATTCTTTGGAAACTCGAGATGTTCAGAATCTCATGTCGGCATTGAAACGTCTGAAGGACGATGAAAGCGATTTCGGCTTCCAAACAATTGCCAGTTACCATGGTTCCTTGATGTGCCCAACACCTGACGCACCCCAATACGCTTGCTGTCTACACGGTATGCCGACTTTCCCACACTGGCACAGAGTCTATCTGCTCCACTTTGAAGAAGCTATGCGTCGTCATGGAGCCAGTGTAGCTATTCCCTACTGGGATTGGACTATAGCGTCGAATCATTTGCCTTCTCTTTTGGGAGATGCTGATTACTACGATGCTTGGACAGATTCTGTAATTGAGAATCCTTTCTTGCGAGGTTATGTCAAACAAGAAGATACCTACACCGTACGAGACACTCAAGCTGAGTTGTTTGAATTGTCGGAAGGTGGCAAAGAATCTACACTTTTCAAGAAAGCCATGTTGATGTTTGAACAAGAAGACTATTGTGATTTTGAAGTGCAATTTGAAGTGATTCACAATTCTATTCATTATCTTATCGGTGGTCACCAGAAATATGCCATGTCCAGTTTGGTTTACTCTTCCTTTGATCCGATATTCTACGTTCACCATTCAATGGTAAGTAAACTTACCTATGTAGATAGGAAAGCTTTCTGAAGCTTTCATTTCAAACTCTTCTACCAAACTCTTCCGACAATAATCTGAGAGTTCATTTCAAATAAATAGAGTTCATTTCAAATAAAAGATCTTGCTTGGTTTAGTTGAGCTGATAATAAATTGCACATAAAAAACAAAATTACAGAGTGGGTCCTTGTTAATATTAGAAAAACAGGAAACAACGTTTCCTGCTTTTAAATGAAAAGTTGAGGTAATTATTACCACACATTCGTCTATGTCAACATTCGTCTATGTCAAGAACTATATTTTTGTGAAGATATTTGTTAGGTGGACAGAGTTGAAATATAAGTCCACTCATACCTTTCACAAATGAGATGTAAACAAAAAAACGCGCCTGAAACTGGAACTCTGTTCCCAGTTTACGTTTTTCGTGCCAATAACCACAGCTTTATTTTGATAGATCACTTATCACCGCCGCAATCATCGTGAGCTTAAAAAAAACTATGGAAATAAAATTTATGATCACGTCATTTATTTATGGCCCACTTGGAAGAGTGACAAAAACACGAGAGGCGGAATTAGAAACAATGAAGATTTTGTGAAGAAGTAATATATTTTTCAGCCTCCAGAAACGCTAGTTGATGCCTGTATTCTAAGACTGGCAAGATAAATCTCATAACCAGATATGTTGTATCAATTTGCAAAGCATGGAATAATCATCATGATAAAAATATTGGGTTTGGTAGGATGCTGAAGTGAAGGCGATTTCCAGGAGACAGCCTTTTTCATGTGAAAAGGAATTAAATAATTTTATTAAATACCTTTATTTGCCAGCAATAATAATCAAGAAAATATGGATTTTGAATAAGTTTCTATAATCGTAAATATTTTTTAACTCTTATCATACAAGTATTTTTCGCCTTAAGTGTAAATCTATAAACATTCTTGTCTGCATCGGATTTCTTATAACTGGTTTCAAACTTGGAATTGTTCTTTTACAGGTTGATCGTATGTGGGCCATCTGGCAGGATCTCCAGCATTACCGAAAGTTGCCACATGATAAAGCATATTGCGCCTTGGATGAAATGTCCTTCCCTATGAAACCGTTTATCTGGGAATCGAACCCCAATCCAGCAACCCGAGCCGTGTCTACACCCAGTAAACTATTTGACTTTAAATCTCTTGGTTACAGTTATGACAACTTGGATTTCCATGGCATGAACACTGCTCAGCTGGAGGCTGCCATTAAGAAACAAAAGCAAAAAGACAGAGTGTTTGCGGGATTTTTGCTGCACGGAATCAAAACATCAGCCGATGTTCATTTGAAGGTGTGTAATGACGCTGATTGTCATGAGGCTGGCGTTGTCTTCATTCTTGGTGGCGAAACAGAAATGCCATGGCATTTTGACCGGAACTACAAGATGGACATTACTGATGTCCTCCGGGAAATGCATATTCCAATGGAAGCTCTGTTCGAACATGAAAGCAAAATACATTTAGAGGTGGAAATTCAAACTGTTGATGGAAACACTCTGGATTCTGGAATACTTCCAAAGCCATCTTTGATTTATGCTCCAGCTAAAGGTTAGTTTTCTAAAATTCGTTCAATTCGTATAAATGGAATTTCACCTTTCCATTAGATTCCACAAGCAATTACTTTCTTATCAAAGCATTCTGATATATTCCGCTTGTACAATTACTGTTTTTACGATTTAACTTTTAGCAACGAGTTTACTGCTATTTACTCAAATTTAATTTGAATCTAAAGTTATTTACTAAGCGTAGATCAGTTTTGGCTCAAGGTCGCAAGTATGTGGTTGTCATTGAAGATAGGCCTTTTAACTCAGTATTCATCGTTTAACCAGGCAAGTTCGCTAAGCATTTTCCAAATGCGAGTCTAACTGCTAAATCCCGTTAAAATGCCGGTTCCTGGACGATCACATACGTTAAGCAACGTCGAGCCTGATTAGTACTTAAATGAGTTATCGCTTGGGTATACCAGGTACTGTAATTTTGGATGCGCGGTGGTGTAATGGATAATGGCTAGGAAATCTTAATCGAAGAGCCGTGTTACAATTCCGGTTGGGTTCGTTATATTCACTTTTGCGCACATCACCGCTGGGAAAGGTATGAATCTACCACTTCTCAGCCAGATATGCGTTAATTAGTAAGACTTGTATCACTAAACGATTATTATCTCAAAAAAGAAAAACATTTCTCCCAATCTAAAATATTTTCGGTCTTTAAATAACCTGCAAAGAGTTGTTAAGCCTTAGAAAATGAATGAATCAATCAGTCAACTGGCTTGTAGTTTATATTGGTATTATGCTGAGCGAAATTTACTTTCAGTTTATGTTAGCACACAATCGGACGTGATCAGTAGTGGAACGAAGCCAGTATGCACAAAACTCTGACCACGATGACTTGTGACTTCATATTAGCACAGTCATCGTCTGCTTAATTTCCTTCACAAGGCTTATGTTAAGCAAAGGCTTATGTTAAGCAAAGGCTTATGTTAAGCAAAGGTATGATTTTCATGCAATTCTCAATGCATCATTTCGATGCAGCATCATATCCTCAGGCTGATATTATCAAGAAGCCATTCCCTTACAAATCAATGACAAAATTCAAACATGAGTCATCATCAAAGGCTTCTATATTTTCTATACAAAAATAGAGCGAAGATGTAAAAAAAGGAAATGTAGAATGTAAGAAAGAGGAAAGGAAGGAAACTAAAAAAAAGACAGGCGTTTTTTTTAATTACATCTTTACTCCATTTGATCTTTTAAAATGGGTGAAGTTTTTTGTAAATATCTTTTTTGGGGGCGTGTAACTCAAACATTACATAGGGAGTTGAACATATGCTACTTTATTAATATATAGATTTTTTTTTACGAGTCTTGAATTTTTGAGATATAGGAAATTGTTTTATAGGTTTATTGACATTTTACTAATGTTTGATCAACTAAACTGCATCTTCTTAACTTCCAGGCTTGGTTACTCAACACGTCGAAGATCATGATACAGAGACTTTGATAAGAAAGAATGTGAACAGTTTAACACCATCAGAAATCAAGAACCTGCGTGAGGCCCTTGGAGCTGTAGAAGCGGATAAGTCAGCAAACGGTTTCCAGAAGATCGCCTCTTATCACGGAATGCCCCTCAGCTGCCACTATCCGAACGGTACAGCTTTTGCTTGTTGCAACCACGGTATGGTCACCTTCCCTCACTGGCACAGACTTTATATGAAACAAATGGAAGATGCCATGAAATCTAAAGGAGCAAAGATTGGTATTCCGTACTGGGACTGGACAACAGCCTTCGACCATCTCCCGTTTTTGGTAACTGAACCCAAGAACAACCCCTTCCATCATGGTTATATCGAAGTTGCTGACACGAAAACAACCAGAGATCCTCGACCGCAATTGTTTGATGATCCAGAACAAGGGGACGAGTCGTTCTTCTACCGTCAAATCGCCTTCGCCCTCGAACAGAGAGATTTCTGCGATTTTGAAATTCAGTTCGAGATGGGCCACAATGCCATTCATTCTTGGGTTGGTGGCTCAACTCCTTATGGCATGTCAACACTTCACTATACTTCATACGACCCACTTTTCTATCTACACCACTCCAATACAGATCGTATCTGGGCCATTTGGCAGGCTCTGCAGAAATACCGTGGTTTACCTTATAATAGTGCCAATTGTGAGATCAACAAATTGAAGAAACCAATGATGCCGTTTAGCTTTGATGACAACCCCAACGAAGTCACAAAAGCTCACTCAACTGGTGTCAAATCCTTCGACTATCACAAATTAAACTATGGATATGATAATTTGAATTTCCATGGCATGACCATTCCTCAGTTGGAAGTCCACTTGAATAAAATTCAAGCGAAAGACAGAGTGTTTGCTGGATTCCTGCTCCGAGCCATCGGTCAATCAGCTGATGTTAACTTCGACATTTGTCGCAAGGACGGAGAATGTAAATTTGGTGGCACCTTCTGTGTTTTGGGAGGCAAACACGAAATGGCTTGGGCATTCGACAGACTCTTCTTGTACGACATTTCCAGGAGTTTGCTACAACTTAGACTTGACGCTCACGATGACTTTGATGTTAAAGTGACAATTATGGGTATTGATGGCAAATCTTTACCATCCACTCTTCTTCCACCACCGACCATTCTCTTCAAACCCGGAACAGGTAAGATTTCATTTCAGAAACATATTTTTCAGTTGATATATTAACATAAACATTTAATGGGTGGATTAAATTGTAAAAAAATAATAATTCTCTTTTAAGATTAAATGCCGACATTCTTCATTGGAACTCTACTCATAGAAAATAGTCATACTTCTCTATGTTTTGTTTTATTTTTGTATCTTAGTTTGGCAAAAGGCAACAAGTTTGAAGGTTCCATGTAGAATCGAAATCATGGTAGTAATGTTTTATTGGAACAGCTCGCTTCACACTGCTTGTGAAGCATCATATAATCTTAGATTCTCAAAAGGCCATAATTGCAGGGCATCTAGTGAAGATTCAACTCAATACAGTAATAATGAATTGTGAAAACATCTAATAAAGTTTAATCTAGCACAAATCAAAATTGTGGGCTACGCAGTGCGGAATGAACTCATTACAATAATAATTACTAATTTTATAAAAATAGTTTTAGATTCGTTGATGTCACGGATAGAGCCATCATATCTGATATATACCTTCTCTCACTCTCTGTACTTTAATATTACGATGGTCTTCCTCTCCTAATCGTAACAGTGGCTGAGCAATTCTTTCACGAGCATCATCAACGCTGGCAGTCTGGATAGTGTCACCAGTCTGAGATTGATCTTCAGCATAGCTTTTATGAACTTTTTGGTCAATTCTCTTGAAGCTTAGATGGTGTTCAAGGCAGTTTACAGATAAGTGGCCAATATTCTGCTATACTAAACGATTTAGCGTTAGCTTTTCTAAATGCCAGTAGGAATGAAACACGCTTGGGTTTTGAATTTAAAGACGTTCTTTTTTTTGTAATTGCTTTCTTAAGAACGGCGACAAATGGTTAGCCCCTGTTTGAACGGGCTTTTGGTATTTGTTCCATGCCGACGATGTTTCCCGTCCAACAGAATTGGTTCTTGATAAAGAGCGATTTGATACATTCAAATTCACTTCACTCAAGTCCTTCTGTATTAGGTGTCTCGTGAATATATGAAATGCTGCATATTTTCCTGTCGTGTTTCATTTTAATCTTTTACGAAAATAATCATTATCTGCAAACAAGCCAACTCTGTAGGTATTTACCGAACTGGAACAAAGCCATTTACCTCCTTATTTAGAAGCACATATAACAGTAGTAGATGACGCTCATAGACTACTGAGTGCAAGGGGGGAAAGGCTGATACACATGTTCAAAGCGTTGTGATGTGAAACATTAATGATTCAACATTTGTTTTAATAGTTTATCGAGGATTAAAAATGTTTAATATGAAAATTATAGGCAAGATTATTTTTAAGGCTTATCAACCTTTTGCAGGTTATTTAAAACAAGAAAATATTTTTAGATTGTAAGAATTTTTCAGAAACAATGATTTATTGATACAAGTCTAGCTAAATTATAAAAATCAAAAGTACGATTGCTTCATGAAATATGAAGAATAGTTAATCTCAAATGTTTAATAAATGCTAAAATGGTTAAAGAAGATATCGATTAAAACGTTATAAAGATGAGAATATTAATACGAACAATTTGTGAAATAATGAAAATATTATATATAATTACATTGATTTTTTTTTTCCAGGAACGCAGTTACATCATTAAAAGTTTCTGCTCGTGGCTTAAATGGACGGTTTTGGAAATAACATATTTTGAAAATAACATTATTGCAAAAGTAAAATGTGTACTAAACTTTTTAAATTTTTTGGATGCTTTAAAAATACAGTTCACTTTGATAATTTTCAATAAACTATTGCAATCTAATTTGATCTCGTGTTGATTTGATTCTTTTGTTCTTTGATACAATTATGCGAATGAAGCAAAACAATTGACACATTGACAGCATTGATGTTAACGAAACATTTTAACCGACCAATTTTACAAACTTCTTCAGGTGTATAATCTATATGATAATAGAACGGCTGATTCTCTGTCCGTCACAAACTATCTGCTTGAACGACTTCAAACAATATTAGTCTATTTCTATATTAATTATTCTTTCTATTCAAGATTTTAACTATCTTATCTCTAAATACTATGCACCACCAAAAACGTGCTCTGTTGACACGTAAAATAAATAAAAAATAAAACGGTTCCCTCTGTTTTCAAAAATTAAGTTAAGTTATCGAATTTCATTTAAATTTTCAGCATTTACTCATTTATGAATTAATTTTATTGAACTTTTGCATTTTTTTAGGTTTTGTTGAAATTTTCCTTCAGGTTGATTATACTCCCCTTTACTTAACTCATGCCTAATTAATACTGGCGAATTTTGAATATTCTTAAATTAAATTTTACATTTTTATAGAGCTAATTCCATGAAAAAACAAAAAATTAATAATATCACTGGATATTAAATTTTTCTAAACACATTGAAAATAAGGTCCGAAAAGAACTGAGGAAAACTTAAAAAATATATTTTGCTAATACTCAGTTTTAATAAAATACATTGTATATTTTGTTTTCGCAAGAAAAACTCTGATGTATATTTGTGAAAAGTTGACACGTATTTTTACAATACAAATATAAAACTCTTTCAGATCTTGTTCGTTGCCGATGAAATTAATCTAAAAAGTAAAGATGTTTGAAGAATCGATAAATGCTATTTTCGCGTGTGAACATTTTTTTTTTAATATTTTGCAACTGTTTGATTTTTGAGTGTATGTAAGCTCAAAATGAAAATCTAAAATAAATTACTGAGTTAGGTCCCGTGAATAAAGTACTTCTGGCACGAATCACAGCTAAGTGTGATTTTTCCATATTTGACTAAATTTTTGGTGGGAATTTTGAATATTAGTGAGGTCATGCGCTATAAGGAAAAACATATTTCCTTATATTTTTTTTGCAACAAGTAATAATTTTAGAAAATCTTATTAATCCTTAAAATTACTATTTTTCTACGAAATAAACGTCTGGGACATATAACGGATTATTAAGAAGTGAGAAAATGCATATTAAATAATGTTAATATCTTCTTTGAAAATAAATTTCTGTTCTGTTTGAATGGTAATGGCCTAAACCTAATCCGAATTAAAGAAAAAATTAATTCCGTATATAAATGAACATTTTAGGCATTTTTTAATAGGTACCTCCACTTTCTCGCGGAAATACATGATGAAAAAAAAAACCCAAACTCAATTAAAACAAAGTTTTGTCACCAAAATGTTTATGTTATTATTAAGAGAAAAGACCAAAGTATTTTTCATTATTTTTTGAAACTTTTTAATTCTTTCAAGCACGTTCGAAATTTTAGTAAAAATCTTGTTTTGTTTACGTCAACAGCTGGCGTAATGATAACGATTAGTTTGTTTTTGTTTTGTTTTTTTCCTTTTTTTCCTTTTTTTCACTGACAGGAAATTCTTACAAAAATCAAATAATTGTCGGATTTTAATGAAATTTTCAGCACTGCTGAACTGATGTTTGCGAGAATGATAAGATCAATATTCGACAGATTGTTGCCTTGTCCAAAAAAGAAAAGACATAGCAAAGAGAATTTCTGCAAAGAAGTATACGCCTGGTGGTAAAGTTTTCTTCAGGAACTACTGAGGTGGAAAATGTTTTTGGGAGGATAGAATTATTTCAAATAGAATTGGAAGAGCAATCTATACGGTGAAAGGAAAAATATGTGCATGCAAAATGCACGTAAACCAGTTACGACCAAGATACTCTGAAATGGTTCCACAGGATGATGAAGAAACTCCAAAGGATGCCCTGTACAATACGTTTGAAATAACACCACCCACTAACATACAAGAACGCATAGATACATCCCCTACACCAGTTTTGCCTTTAGAATTGTGATGTTATTCACCTCGAAAGAGTACAAGGAAAATAAAATCCCACAGTGCGGTTAAGTCCAGAATCGAAAAAGAAAAAGTATTAGAAAGCTAAATTTTCTAGAGGAAAATTTCAGCTAGGTGGGGGTGGGGTGAAGTCATGTAATGGAAAAACATGTCAACTCCATGAGTAACTACAGGTAGTAACTACGGGCTTGGCGAACCCACATTAAACACGGCCTTGTGCCATATGCAAACCTCGTGGCGGGGGGGGGGATATTGTCTATCCGAAATCTTTTCGGCTACACCGTCGAACTCTCTGCCTCTGAGCAGAGAGGAACCCGGACGAGGCTCAGCCGAAGGGCAGAGTCTCGTTCGGGGAGGTAGACTGACCCCGAACCTGTTATACGGGTTAGAAGGGAAAATTTTTGGCCGAGACTACGGGCTCGAAGACCCACGTTAAACTCGGCCTTGTGCCACATCTACCATCGTGGGTGGGGTAGTAAATCTTTTTCGGCTATACAGTCGAGCAGAGAGGAACCCGGACGACGCTATACCGAAAGGCAGAATCTCGTTCGGGGAGGTAGACCGAATCGATACCCTTTAAACGGGGTCTACGGGGATTTTTGGCCGAGCCTATTTTTGGCCTTGTGCCACATATAACTGCGTGGGGAAGTTTCTAGATAATCTAGCTGAAATCTTTTTCACCTGTGTTGGTCGAACACTCTGCCTTCGGGCAGAGAGGAACCCGAACGTGGATATGCCGAAGGGTAGAGTCTCATTCGGGGATGATCCCGTTTATTCGGGGTCTACGGGGATTTTTTTAAATTCGCCACTGTGCCACATGTGACTGCGTGGGATACTTGCTAGGTACCGTCTAGCTTGAATCTTTTCCAGCTGTTCTGTCGAACTCTCTACCCGAAGGCAGAGAGGAACCCGGACGTGGCTATGCCGAAGAGACTCGAACCCGTTTATCATGTGACTGCGTGGAGCAGTTGCTAGATACCGACTAACTGAAATCTTTTCCAGCTGTGCTGGTCAGGTTCTCTGCCTACGAGAAGAGAGAATCCCAAAACGAGGCTCTGTCGAAGGGCAGAGTCTCGTTTCGAGAAACAGCTACCCGACTCTGTTTTATACGGGGTCTACGGGAATTTTTAGCTGAGCCTCCGGGCTTGGATGTTCCACATTAAACACGGCCTTCTGCCACATCTGATCACGTGGGGAGTTTAGTAAATATACTCTAGCTGGAACTTTTTTCAGCTGTGCTGGTCGGAATGTCTGCCTTCGAGCGGCAAGGAACCCGGACGAGGCAATGCCGAAGGGTATAATCTCGTTCGGGGAGATAGACAGACCCAATCCCGTTTATGCAGGGTCTACGGGGATTTTTTGGCCGAGCCTCCGGCTTCGGGAACCGCACATTAAATTTGGCCTTGTGCCACATGTGACTGCGTGGGGGAGTTGCTAGATGCCTTCAAGCTGGAATCTTTTACAGCTGTGCTGGTCGAACTCTCTGCTTCCGAGCAGAGAGGATAACGAGACGAGGCTATGCCGAATGGCAGAGTCTCGGTGAAACAGCTACCCAACCACGTTTTATACGGGTTCTACGGGAATTATTGGCTGAGCCTACAGGCTCGGATGCACCACATTAAACTCGGTCACTTCTGATCGCGTGGAGAGGTTAGTAAATATACTAGTTGGAATCTTTTTTTATCCCTGCTGGTCGAACTCTCTACCTTCGAGCAGAGAGGATCCCGAGATAAGGATCCGGGGAGGTAGACAGACCCGATCGCGTTTATGCGGTGTTCACGCAGATTTTTTGGCCGAGCCTACGGGCTCGGGAACACCACATTAAATTCAGCCGTTGCTACATGTAACAGCGTGGGGCAGTTGCTAGATATCGTCTAGCTGGAATCTTTTCCACCTGTGCTATCGAACACTTTGCCCTCGGGCGTAGAGGAACCCGGACGAGTCTATGCCAAAGTGCAGAGTTTCGTTCAGGCAGTTAAACAGACCCGATCCCGTTTATGGGGGTATACGGGTTTTTTTTGGCCGAGCTTACGGGCTCGGATGTTCCACGTTAATCTCTGCATTGTGCCGCATCTACCCTGGTGGGGTAGCTAGTATATATTATGTAGCTAGAATCTTTTCCAGCTGTGATGTCGAACTCTCTGCCTTCAGGCAGATAGCAACCCAGACGAGGCTATGCCGAAAGGCAGAGTCTAGTCCTTGGGAGGTAGACAGACCCGAACCCCTTTATGCAAGTTCTACGGGGAGATTTTGGCCGAGCCTACGGGCTCGGGAAACTTACATTAAATTCGGCCTTGTGCCACATGTGGGGCAGTCGCTAGATACCATTTAGCTGGAATTTTTTCCAGCTATGCTGGTCAGGTTATCTGCCTCCGAACAGAGAAGATTCCAGACAACGACGCTATGCCAAAGGGCAAAGTCTCGTCTCGGGAAACAGCTAGCCGTTCCAGTTGTATACGGGGTCTACGGAAATTTTTGGCTGAGCCTACGGGCTCGTATTCCCCACATTAAACCTGGCCTCGCGTCACATGTGACAGCGTTGGGCAGTTGATAGATACCACCTAGCTGAAATCTTTTCCAGCCTTGCTGGTCGAACACTCAGCCCTCGGGCTTAGAGGAACCCGGACGAGGCTATGCCGAAAGGCAGAGTCTCGTCCGGGGATGTAGATTGACCCGAACCCATTTATACGGTGTTTACTGAGAATTTTTGTTCGAATCTATGGGTTCGAATTGTCTTTCATTAAATTCGGCCTTGTGCCACATCCTACCTCGTGGGGATGCTGCTAAATATTTCTAGCTGGG